AGTCTAAGCGGTCCTGAAGAACAACAGAGGAGGGGACATACTGACAGGAGAGATGGCATGAGATCAGACCTTAAATTTCTTTTGGGTGACTGGACAATAATGTGCCCAATGGTCCTGCATTTGTGTGGGTCAGGGAAGGCAAAGGGTGGGTCAGGAAATCACTGAAGTACCACAAATACCCACCAGAGGGCACAGCTCTGTAAACTAACCCTGGCTACCAAGTAAGTGGAGGTCAAATGTCTTCGGGTCTCAGCCAGCCTGTTGTTTGGCAATGAGCTCAGGGGCAGAAGAGCAAAGGTGAATGGGATAGTTAGTCAACAGCCATCGCTCCTGTCAGCTCCAGCTGAGACTGAGGGGCCTATCTGCTAGGCCAGGGCTCAGGCCTCATTCCTGAACTGTGTTTGATAGGAACAGTGTGCTGGCTGCAAGGAACATTAGACCCTCTTCTTCCCAAGAATGGATTCAGGGCTGCTACTTGGGTCAGACTGGCCACTGTGCTGCCATCTGAAGGCTTCTGGACCACTTCAAATTCAGCTGCTGGGTCTCTGCCACGGCCTCTCCAACCCAGAAGTCATTTGAAAGGAAAGTAGCCTGACAATCACCTGGACCGGGATTCATGGGTGCCACTGTGACCCTGAGAACCCAGAGGAGGACAGAAAGACCTGGCTATACCCTTGCTGAACAGCCAACCAGATCTTGTCTTACAGGAGGCAGGGTGTGCTGTGGATCACAATACTGACTTAATGTTGGTCAGAAGATAGAGGTCCAGAAACCAAGTATGAAGGTTGGTGGTAGATCTAAGAGCTACCACTAATCTCCCTTATTCTTGAGAGTGCCTGTGGGGAGACCTGCCTACCAAGGAAACAGTAACATTTTCTCCCACCTAGAAGCTAAAACACTGCTTAGTTTTTCCTTTATCAGTAAGCCCCCATGGGAGCATGATGACAATGGGACCTTTGTTAACAGAAGTGTGTGAGTAAGCCTGGGCTGCAGTGCACAGGCTCTGCCCTTGGCTTCAGTCTGTTCTCAGTTTCCCCATCTGTAAAATGGGGCTGAAATAGCATAGTGCCAGCACTCTGTAAGGATTGCCCACTGTTACTACTTAAGTGGCTGTTTACTAATCTGACCATCGGGGGATGTGGAGTTGCCAGCAAGCAATGAGAACCAGAAGGCTTCCTGGGCTTCTCCCCACAGACAAATGCTGCATCCAACATAGAAAGGACCACTGGGGGAAGGAGGTCTGCATTGTTCCTGAAGGAAAGGCCACTGCAGCTAAGGCTTAGCTGAAGATGAAAGACTTGGGGACAGGACATGAACATATCTCTATCATCAGGCTCCACCGATCGATCTACCCTGACCAGTCACACACGATGTCAGCCCTGAGCCTTCCTCCCCAACTCCAGGTCTATTGCCACTCAGGAACTGGTGGATGTCATCTGCCACCCCTTATTTCTGCCCAAGACCCTGCAATGGCAGTCTGGGATTCCTGGTGTGGCATTCATGGCCCCTGGTGACTGCTGCTGTCCTCTACTGTCACCATCAACATTGCTCTCTACACGGCAGACACACTTCTGACAGCATCCAGAATCTGTTCCCATCTTTCTGCATGCCTCTATATCTACCATGTCCTCTCTCTGGGACATCCAGCACTGCCTTCTGTTGGCTTCCTCCATCTGTCCCATGTGTCAGCCCTGTGACTGAATTAGGTACCTCAGGGTCAGCGCCACCAGGGCTCTGCCCGCCTCAGTGCTCTCCATTCACCCTCCCATCATTCTGAAAGCTATATCAAGCTACAGCCCAGGCTCCTGTAAAGTGTCTGGCCCAACACAGACCTTGCAGAAGGAGTCAGGAGCCTGCCTGACCTCTCCCTTTACAGTGATAGTGATGGCCAGCCCAGAAGCTTCCACACAAACTCCAGAACAAAAACACAAAGAAGACAGAGAGAGGTTTCCTTTGTTAAAAGACAGCAAACTGTTAGGTTTTCAAAAATAACTTAAGACGGGATTTCTTTTTTATTCTAAAGCAAGAGCCCCAGACATTGCCAAATCTATTTAGGGGGGGCCCAGAGAGGCTTCTCACCCCAACGATCCTGGGCCCAGCATTTGGCTTCATTTGGGGGAATGCCTGATTGGTGAGGGGGTGCTGGTGGCCAAGGCCAAGGATCCTTCTGAAAGCAAGGCAGGGCTCTGCAGACCCCACAGAGGAGGCTGCACCTCAGCTAAGCTTAGTCTCTGGGACCGGCTCTCATCCCGTCAGGCGCCATCTAGCCACCTGCTTGTAGGGACTCGTTTTAATTAATGCCAGAACTGGGCCAACCACTGGGGCCGTGACACTTGTTTGCAGGTCATCTGTTCCTAACAGGCTCACCCTGGGAGGGGCTGACAGGCTCACCCTGGGAGGGGTTTGTCTCTAATTGAAGCCGAAATCAGTTAATGAGGCCGCAGGGCCTGGGGTTCCAGAGAACAAGGGAGAGGAAAATAAAATCAAGCCTCTGTCTTTGGCAGTTTTGTGATTTATACACACAAAAGAAAAGAAAGCAAGCTGCCGATTTTCCAAGTCAGGAACTCCACTCCATCTGCCCGAGTGAGCCCCTCGCTGTATGAAGTCGTCAGGCGGAGGGGCATGCCACTGCTAAGGCTCCGGCTCCTGGAGAGGAGAGGAGGGGCCTCAAGGCCAGCGATCAATCAGCAGCCTAATTAATAGGTATTTATGGCACAGAGCTCTGTGGTTCCCTCTGTGGGGTATGAGACAGATGCCTGTCCCTAGCTAACTTGTAATCCAACTGGGGACAATGAGAGGACAGGGTGTGACTGAGTGTAGGAAGAACGAGAAATTTCTGGGACTTGGGTCAAAGAAAATCTCCTCTGGGGGGATCTGAAACCAAGCAAAGAAGAGGAGGCAGAGGGTGTCTCCACAAGCCCTAAGTTCCAAGTAACTGCTGGCTTCTCTGTCCCTCCACCAAGCAATCTGAGGGAGGTACAGGCCTGCAAAGTGTTGGGATGGAATGGATGGGACCCCCACCATTGGCAGTTCCTAAGGGCTGGAACTCAGAGAGGCCAGAGTTTTCATAAGTTGAATTCCTGAGCCACGTGCCCAGTGGGAAGGCACCAAGGCAATGACCTCACTCAAGCCCTTCTCAGTGCTGCCCCCTCCTCCCAGGCCCTTCTACTTTAAAGGATGGCTGTTGAAGCAGCTGAGCCAGGGAGGCTCTGAACTCCTTGTGCTTTACAGAGCAAGAGGGTGGTAAGGGAGCCCTCTCCAGTCTCAGGAGCCCAGGCCTCAGACCAGCAGAGTCAGGCCGCCCCAATTTATCTGAGTCTCAAACCAAGTTCCATTCAGGGTTGCACGTCTACCAGGCAGATTGGCAGTTTCTCCACAGTGAGCCTTCTACACAGGTCTGGCTGCATATGGCTTCTAACTGGCAGCAAGGCATTCAGGGAACAAACAAGATCCCAGGCACAAAAAGGGATGCCCCACTTTCACTTGGAGGTGGCTTGCTCTACGTGGGAGTAAAATAAAAGGGGCTGCTTGAGGACAGCCCCAAAGCTCTACTTTAGAGACAGCAGTAGCACTGACAGGGTAGGATGAATGGCTTATCACACAGTTTGTACAGTTATGGTTTGTGTCAGAAGAGATAAGGAAAGAGGTGTTATCAAAAGATTCATAAATGTGAATTCTTCCATTGTGTTGTGTTTTCTTTCTTTTCAATTTTTTTAAATGGTGTGTGTGTGTGTGTGTGTGTGTGTGTGTGTGTTTTGCCTGCGTGTATGTGCACCATGTATGTGCAGCACCTACAGAGGCCAGAAGAGGGCATCAGATCCCCCAGAACAGGAGTTATAGATTTTTGTGAGCCCCAACATGGGCACTGGGAACCAAACCCAGATCCTCTGGAAGAGCAGTCAGTGCTTTTGACTATCAAGCCATCGTTTTTGTTAAGGGAGGGTCCCGTGTAGCCTAGGCTAGCCTCAAACTCACTGTATACCTTAGGATGACTTTGAGCTTCTGATCCTCTTGCCTCTACCCTAAGTGCTGCATGCAAGTTTGGACCACCAGGACCTATTTTACATGGTGTTGGAGATTAGAATCAGAGCTTTGTGCATACTAGACAAGCCCTCCACTAGCTGAGCTGCATTCCCAGCCCTGATGTGAACTCTTCCTTTGCCTAACAAGGCATTCGTTGTGTTACTAGTGACAGAGGTGACCGCTGGAAAAGGCACTTTGCCCTCAGGAGTCGGTTGTAGGAAGCTATTCCATTGGAGATCCAGAAAGTGGCACACATTCAAGGTTAGGACTGACATTAGACAAGGGCTCAGAGGCCTGATTCTTTACTCTAGGCGTGGTCCACACCCTCTCTGCTGTCTGCTTGCTGCCCCCACCTGAGATCATCAGTCCCACTTTTATTCGGCAATTTGCAAGTTCCTGTAACGAATTCCAGCTTTATTCTTGCAGGACTGCGAAGGCTCAACTTGAAGAGCTTTATAAACCTCTGGGGAAGCTAGCCTGACCCTCCAACCAAGCCTGAAGAGACTGCATAGAGGCAGTTCTATCCCCAGCTCATGGAAGCCAACAGCCTTCTCTAAGAGCCAAGACCAAGAAAACCACACAGTCTTTACTCGTGGAACATCAAGCTGCAGATGGTTGCTGTCCCTAGATCAGTCAGGAAGAGGGAATTCATGATCCTGGATCCAGGAGGTTTAGTAGCAGTGAATTGGAACTGTAGACAGCCATAGACTGTGCACCATAGGCTGCTCTGAGGAAAATGATGCACCGGGAGACAAATAGCAAAGCTGCTCTAAAGAGTGCTGGGTGCAGGGACAGACAGGGATAGATATCCTGCCCTCCCTGCCCTGAACTCCACACCTCCATCCCCAACACCTTGGAGTACCAATTTGTGTTCTTCCTAGCAGCCTCTTCCCTGCCTAGAAAATATCGAGGCATCCCCTTCCAGACCCCATTCCCCACACACTGGCCTACCATGGAGCAAGGTAGGAGTTACTCACAGCGATGGAGACAGCGCTGATAACGGCTCCCAGGTAACCCTGGATGAACTTGGAAGCAGGTGAAGGCTGGAAGACAGGCAGAAAGGTAGACACACTGGTCTCCAAAGCTTCCATGTTCTGCTTTGGCGAGCAAGGAGCAGTCCCTTGGGAAGCCAAAGGGGCAGGCCTCCCTCAGTAACCGTTAAAGCAGACTATACAAGGCCGGAGCAGGAATCGCTGGGCCCCTTTACTTCTGCCTTGTTCTAAAAAGATCTTAGCAGACACTGCTGGCTAGAGGTGGGAAACAGCAGGGCCTCTCACAGGTCCTTTATGTCCAGGCTGTTCAGGGTATCATCTAGGAAGGCCATGTTATAAGCAAGTGTTTCAGCCTGGCACATCATCTGTGTTGTATAGCATTGTCTTACCAGCTACAGTCTAGCTGGCTCTTACAGCTCCCTCAGCCCAGGACTCAGGGGGCTTCACTGTCAGTATGTTACTGTTGCCCAGTAGTTCCACAGAACAAAAGACCTCAAGTACCAACATTAAAAAAGAAAGAAAGAAAAACTGAAGAACCTCTCTCTGCTACAATTGCAGTTTGGAGATAGCTGGTTTAAGGTTACAGGAAACAATTGAGTGGAGCCGTATTGGTGAAACCTGCCAGAGTCTAGATATGCAGAGTTAGATGAAGGGGCATCCTTAGAGTCTCTGGTCCTTCAAGTTCCTACTGCAAAGGCCAGCTCCTCTGCTCTCTTTGCCACTTTGGAAAATATTAAGACCAACCCCTCAGAGGGGAACCCAGATTCCTCTGGATGTGAGAATGGTTCAGAAGGAAAGGTGGCCTTGTCACAGGTCAGCTTGTGTGATCAGTAACCTGGGAGCTGAGGACACTGAGCTGGCTTCTGGGTGTGCTTAGGGGAGCTCAGTCCTCAGGATGCTGATACCTTCCAGATCCAGTATCTGAGTGCACTAGCTTCTCTAGACGAGCCAGGAAGCCAGCAGAATCCACTCCTACAGACCTTTATTTTACCCACCCCTTGCGGGGCCCTTCCCAAAAGCTTCTGCTGACCCATGCCAAGCAAGCTAAGTGCTGCCTGTCTGTAGGGATGGCAGCATGACCAAGCACCCAAAGAAGGCAGTGCTTGGCACTAATGTCAGAGTGCTTAGCATGTCATGTCAGAGAAGATGACTAGGTCACTCCCACCTAAACCTGCCATGAGCAGAGAGGGCAGTGGCACTCACCTTGGTAGCATTGCGGTTTGCATAGTTGACACAGGCGTTATGGCTCTGGTTCAGCCACTGAGGGCAACAAGGAAAGAAATTAGGGAAGTAGAGTCACCTCCATGGAAGACCCCACCTCCACTCTGGCCAGAAGTCATGGGAATCTGCTCTATCTACAGAGATGGGTACACTGAGGTGACTTCTGGGTGAACTTGGGGTGATGGTGGGGATACAGTACTCAACATGCAGATATCACTTGACTGCAAGATCTGAATATGTTCCAGAAAAATCCAGAAGGTAGAAGAATTCACCTCCTACACAGCCTCCTTGATTTGACCCCTTGTTACCTGCCAGAAGCTCTGTCAGAACCAACAGGTGTTTCTTGCTGGTTACCAAGCCCAGATTTAGGGGAAGCTGGTATCAGAAAGAGGCTATAGGCCTCTGGTCACTGACCATGGGTCAAGCAACCAACAGACAGAATGAGTCACCACTCACAGGCCACCATGCTCCAGGTGAGGGTACCCGGCCCCTCCTCACCTCCATCTGAAGGTTAAAGGATACAGAATGGCTGGCATCACACTGAGGTTTTCAAGGCCTTTCAGCAGAATCAAGGTTTTGGTAGATTATGAGTAAGTGCTAGGGGATTGGAGCGCTTGACCCAGGGGCCTGAATGAAGCAGGAGACAATGGGGGGGGGGGAGGGTGTCCCATGCCAGTGTGTGTGTGTGTGTGTATGTGCACACGCACTCGCACACGCACACACAGACACACACACATTTGTTCCTTCAGGAGCCCTCTGCACAGACTCTTACCTGCCAGAAGACAGTGGATGCCAGCGTCTGGTTAGGCAAGAGAAGTCCCACCACCTAGGAAAGAGAGAGGGGTAGGTTGAGGAGGGCAGGAGAGATGCCCAATGCTTTTGTTTTGGTTTTTGAGATGGAGTCTCACTGTACCCAGGCTGACCTGCAATGCACTTTGTAGCCCAGGCTGGATTTGAAAACATAGCAAACCTCCTGCCTCAGCCTCATGAGTGCTAGGATTGCAGGTGTGTAGACCATGACTGTCTCAGCCATTTAGTGGGATCGAAGCTGTGTAGCACCACCCTATGAGTTTGCAAAGCAAATGTATACAGCCATGGACAACGGGGAACTGGAACCTTATGGACACTGGGGTGGTCTGGTATGCTGATACACGGTCAGATGTAAGAAAAACAATTAAAGTGCAGAATTACATTGCCATGCAATTCTGTTTATATAAAAGAAAAATATTATCTGTCTATCCAACACGCACACATGCATGCATGCACACAACACCTACAGTTAGCAGGATTAGCTGTGGGTTTTTATAAGTAATCCCAGACTACCTTCTCATAGTCTTATGACTTCTGCAGTCTTCTCTTTTTTTTTTAAAGGCTTTAAAAAAAAAAGATTTATTTATTTTATTTATATGAGCACACTGTAGCTGTCTTCGAACACACCAGAAGAGGGCATCAGATCCCCTTACAGATGGTTGTGAGCCACCATGTGGTTGCTGGGAATTGAACTCAGGTCCTCTGGAAAAGCAGTCAGTGCTCTTACCCACTGAGCCATCTCTCCAGCCTTTCTGCCTTCTTCTTAACAATGGATTTTTATTTATTTCCATAATTGAAGGGAGCAATAAAACCAAGCAAACAAACAAAAGGAATCCTGTCCCTTCTCTCAGGTAGACTAAACACTTTTCCTATAGGATATTTGTGAGAATTAAATAATCTCAAAGTCCTTCAAGGGATTCATATATAGAATTTTTGAAAATGTGCCTTTATCAAAAGAAAACTGGCAGTTATTGTTAACTGAATGACTGGGACACAGGAATCTAATAAGCAGTGGTTTCCATGGGAGTTAGACTTGGGGTCATGTGCTACAGTTGGTGAGGACACTATGAAGCTGAGTTCTTAGGGGTACAGCCCTGGTGGAGCACGTAGGTCTCAGGGACAGCACCTTTAAGGCATGTCCTGTCTCTAGGAGTTTCCCCTTATGCAGGTTCTCTGTCTCCTGTCCACTGTGAGGTGAGCTGCTTTGCTCAACCACAGATGAGCTCCCTGCTAGTGCTCTCCCTCTTCTCAGGCCTAGAAGCATCAGAACCAAGTGACCATGGACCAAAGCCTCTGAAACTCTGAGCCAAATGGCTTCTCTTCTGCACTGTGCTTTGTTACAACACGGGAGGCTAACATACTGAGTGAATGAATGGATAAACAGATACACTAAGTATGCCTTTACACCCATCATGCCTCAAACCCAAAGAGCACCTGGAATCTAGACTTGCTGGCTACCTTTTATAAAATATTTTACTATTTATTTATGTATATGTGTCCCTATGCATGGAGGCTGGAAGAGGGCATTGGATGCCCCAGAGCTGAAGTTATAGGAGTTTCTGAATTGCCTGATGTGGGTGCTGGGAACGGAACTGGTCCTCTGCCAGAGGAACAAATGCTCTTAACCACTAAGCCAGTGGTTCTCAGCCTTCCTAACACTGAGACCCTTTAATACACATCCTCATGTTGTGGTGACCCCAACCATAAAATTATTTTTGTTATTACTTCATAACTGCAATTTTGCAACTGTTATGAATGGTAATGTAAATATCTAATGGTCTTAGGCGACCCCAGTGAAAGGGTCACTTAACCCCAAAGGGGTCACAACCTACAGGTTGAGAACTACTGCATTAAGCCATCTCTAAACACACACACATACACGTTTTTAAAAACAGTCTTATGTGTCCTAGGATGGCCTTGACCTTGCTGCGTAGCTGAAAATGACCTTGAACTTCCTGTCCTGTGTCTGCCTCCCAAGGGCTGGGACTTCAGGGAAACAGAACCATGCTTGGGTGCTGTGGTGATTTGAATATACTTGGCCCAAGAGAAGTGGCACTATTAGGAGGTGTTGCCTTATAGAATAGGTGTGGCCTTGTTGGAGGAAGTGTGTCACCGTGTAGGCGGGCTTTGAGGGCTCCTAGTGCTCAAACACCTCCCAGTGTGGAAGAGGGCTTCCTGCTGGCTGCATACAGAGGAGAGCCTCATTCTGGCTGCCTTTGGATCAAGAAGTAGAACTCTCAGTCAGCTCCTTCTCCAGCAGCATGTCTTCCTGTGTGCTGCCATGTTTCCCACCATGATGATAATGGACTGAACATCTGAAACTGTAAGCCAGCCCCAATTAAATGTTGTCCTTTATAAGAGTTGCCTTCGTCATGGTGTCTGTTCACAACAATAAAACCCTAACTGAAACAGGTGCTGAGGATTGAACCCAGGATTTCGTGTATGCTAAGCAAGCACTGAGCTACATACATCTCCGGCCTTAAGTGTGTGTCTGTGTGTGTGTGTGTGTGTGTGTCTGTCTGTCTGTCTGACTGTCTGACTGTGTCTGTGTTTGGAGGTCAGAGGAAAACTTTTAGGAGTCAATTCTCACTTTCCATCTTCTTTTGAGGTGAAGTCTCTCTTGTCTCTGTCCCTGCATTGCATACTCCAGGCCAACTAGCCCATGAGCTCTGAGGTATTCTCCTGCCTCCACTTCCCCTCACACTATGGAAATGGTTAGGTCTCCAGCTTTTTACATGAGGATCTTACAGTCTGTGGATCCAGACTGGAGGATCTGAACATGGGTCATCAGGCTTGTGCGGCATGTGCTTTACCCATTGACTCATTTCCCTGGCCCTCTGCTCTGAGACAGAATCTAACATAGCTGGCTATGGCCTTCCTATGCAGTTGAGAATGAACTTCAATCCGTAATCCTCCTGCCTCTACTTCACACAATCTGGGCTTACCGGCATGCACCACCATGTCTAGCTGATCTTGTTGGGCATCAAGGGCTTGTGTGAGTCTCTTAAGTTTACCTTTAGAGTGTTTGTGTGGGAAACAACATTTCCCAAGTACAGCTACATATGGGAAAATGTGCACAGCCATCCACATATTGACTTATTTATTATTCCTGTAGATAAAATGGCTCTTTGGCAAGAATTTCCGCAAGGAACAAGTATAAACATTCAATACTATGCAGTAAATCAAATTCTAGACATCCTTAGCAGCATTAGTAAATCATGTTTTAAACATTAAAATGTTTTAAAACAGCGAACACACACGCACATTTATATTTATTGGCCCATATCAGTTTGAATAAAATTACAGAACGTAATGCCATTCCTCAGCTCCAACAGGAGCTACGCAAAGGACTTTTTCCTCCAGAATGAAGTGTCTACTGATTCTTTTGTGCAGTGGTCACTTAGGGCAATGAGGATTGTCCAGTAAGGAGACCTGGGGCCTCAACTGCAGCTGTAGCCTTGTGCTCTTGAATTCTTGATTCCTTCTGGAGTTGGACTTTTCCATCCTATAAGAAGAAGGATTTACCCTGAAGGTCCTAGCTCAGTTCCACATGCCCCCACCCCAGTGTATGTTGTGTCTGAGTGTGTGTATGGGACAATATTTGCATACACATGTGTGTGTATGCATGTGGAGAGCAGAGGGAGATTGTAGAATGCATTCATCAATCACCCTCCTTCTATATCCATTACTTATTTTCAATGTATACGTACTGGTGTTTTCCCTATACGTATGTCTGTACATCACTTATGTTCAGTATCTAGGGATACAGAAAAGGTTGTTGGATCTCTGGGACTGGAGTTACAGATGGTTGTGAGTTGCCATGTGGTGGGAACCTAACCCAAGTCCTCTGTAAGAGCAGCCAGTGTGCTTAACTACTGGGCCATCTCTCTAGCCCTGCTGCCTTTATGCTTTGAGACAGGCTCTCACTGAGACTGAAGCTCTGGCTGGCCAACATACTTAAGGGGTCCACCTGTCTCCACACTCCTCCTCCACCATGGCAGGGTTATAGACACACACCACTGTGCCTGGGTTTTTCCATGGGTTCTGGGGATTCAAACTTTGGTCCTCATGCTTGTGTAGTAGTCATTTGCAGATTTAGCCATCTACACTCTCCCCAGCTGAGTTTAAAAGTCTATTCTATTCTCAGGTTCCAATTGTCTGGAGAGGTAACTCCGTCCGCTCTGAGGTGCCTATATAGTATAGGATCCCAAGGGACCCAAGCACTTTTCCTTCTTGAAGCTCTGACCAGAGCAAAGAGAAGCTGAACTTAGAGTGACTGAGGGAAGGGAGGGGGTGTCACATATTTACACACAAGCACATGAATGCTGCCTCTTAAACACTGGGGCAATTCGTACTGACCATTTGCAAGTGTTCAGGTCACGCATCCTGCCCACCCCCACTCCCGTGGTTTTACATCATATTGTAAATTATACAATATATCCCCACCCCCAAATCCCAACTTTCTGGATAGTGCTTAAGCCACCAAGAATGTCCTCAGACACCATTACTTGGGACTCTATGCATCACCAGGCTCCTGCTGTCCAGGATGGTCACTGAATTACCTCAGAAATACTTCCTGATTTCTAAGTCAGAGATTTCATGTCTGAGCAGCTGGTTTGCATTGTCTTGCTGACAGGGGGTCATTTACCTGTGTCTGGCCCTTAAGAGGCCTAGGCCAGGGTCAATACAATGGCTCAATGGGTAAAGTGTTAGCCATCCAAGCCTGACAACCTGACTTCCATTCCTAGAAGCCACTATCTGACTCCTCAAAGTTGTCCTCAGATCTCCACACATACATGGTGTTATGCATGTGCATGCACACATGCACACACACACACACACACACATACACACACACTAATAACAAGAAGAATAAATAAGTAAATAAATAAAAGAAAAGAAGCTCTGGCTAGCTCCCTCTGCCCGCAGCTCTCATGGGTACAGACCCACACTGCTCATGCTCTGTGCCCACCCATAGCCCCACCATCTTCCTTTTGCTAACCTTCTTTGGGTATC